GGCATGGTTGTACCTTGGATTGGAGTGATGGCAGTAGAGACAGAAGGAAGTGCAAGGATTTTGAAATGTGATTTCAAGGTAGGGTGCACAAGACTTACTTATAGATTGGTAAGGATATTGAGAGAAAAAGAAACACACAAAAGTATGTCTTGAGCAACTGAGGAAACAGTAGTGTTATTTACTTGCAGGTGCATGACTGGGCAATAACCTATCACCTCCCAACTTGTTCTTTATAGTTCTCTTAGGCATGTTTATGTGAGACCTCACAATCAGTCTTGTATCGTAAAAAGACTTGTAGAAACATCTAAGCTCTGCCCTCCACCAGCTTTGGGCTGTTGGGAAATTTGCAAGATTTTGTGAGGTCAAATTTCTAATTTGTAATCTCAGCATTAGGTAAGATCATGAATGTGCTTAGCAGGAGGCCTGTACAGAAAAAAGGTCTAAGTCCTCACATAAAAATCCAAACATTTCCCAACAATATTCTATACTCTTACCACAGAATACAATTCTTATGATTAGCTACCATTAATCCCAGTTGTCGCTTATGCTCATTTTCATGAATTTTATCTGAAATGTTGGAGGACTCTGAAGTTCTTTCCATCTATCTGAAGATAGACCTATCTGGAACTATAATTACAATTTGAATTAACTTCTCGGGACCAAGCATTTCTCTGGTTTATTAACTCACAGCATCATGATCATACTGGACAAACTATATTATTCTTCTGAACTTGAAAGGCTATATGTCTTCTTCCTAAAGGCAAATCATCACTCCTAGAGACCAAAGAAGCATCAGATAAGCTCCATGAAAATGAGACAGCTGCTCAGTTGGGTAAACTGATGAAAACTCAGCTATGACTCACTAACAAGGTTTACATGTATGTTTAAATATGTGCATTTGAATCATGCATAAATAGAAATAAACCAGAATGAGAGAGAGATATGCAAATCTAGATGATACTAGAAATAATTTCTTTTTTACCCAATTTAAAAAATTGTGTTAAAATACACATAACATAAAATTTACTATCTTAATCATTTTTACATACATAGTTCTGTGGTATTACATTCATGATGTTGTACAAGTATCACTACTATCCATCTCTGTAACTCATTAAAAATTTTTATTGTGTTTTTAAGGTGTATAACATGATGTTTTGATATACATATAAATAGTGAAATGGTTACTGTAGTCATAGTAACAAATCCATTATATCACAGTTACCCATTTCTTTTGTGTGTATCAAGAGCATCTACTCTTTAGCAAAAAATCTGAATAAAATATTAACTATAGTCCTTATGTTGTACATTAGATCTCTAGACTTGTCTTACATATCTGCTACTGTGTAATTTTTGCCAATTTTCACCCATCCTTCCATACCTGCCCCAGGAACCACTGTTTCATTGTCTATTTCTGTGTATTTAAATGTTTTTGACTCCACATATAATGAGGTCATGCAGTAATTTTCTTTTCATGTCTGGCTTATTTCACTTAGCATAATGTCCTCCAGGTTCACTCACATTGTAGCAAATGGGAGGATCTCCTTTTTAAAGGCTAAATAATAGACATTATATAGATATCTATCTATATATACGTGTGTAAAAAGAAAAAAAACACATCACATTTTTTGTTTTGCTTTTTTATTTTTGAGACAAGGTCTTTCTGTGTTGCCCAAGGCGGAGGGCAGTGGTGGGATCAAGCTTACTGCAGCCTCAACTTCCTGGCCTCAAGTGATTCTCCTACCTCAGCCTCCTGAGTAACTGGGGCTACAGGCACATGCCACCGCATCTGGCTAATTTATGTTGTATTTTTATGTTGTGAACACATTTTTTTTCAATCTACTTGCTTGTTGATGAACACTTTGGTTTATCCTGTATCTTGGCTATTGTGAATAATGCTGCCATGAGTGCAGATATCTTTACAAGGTGGTAATTTCATTTCCTTTGGGTATATACACAGAAGAGTTATTGTTGGATCATATGATAGTTTTAATTTATTTAGGAACCTCCGCACTGTTTTTCACAGTGGCTGCACCAATCTACATTTCCACCAACTGCATAATGGGGTTCATTTTCCTCCACCCCCTTGCCAACACTGATCTCTTGTTAGAGGATAGCCATTCTAACAGGTATGAGGTGTTATTGTGGCTTCGATTTGTAATTCCTCGGTGATTAGTGATATTGAGAACTTTTTCTTTTCTTTCTTTTTTTTTCCAGGCAAATTCATTTATTAACAAGTATTTACCTGTAGGGACAGTCATGTAGCTTCTTGGGATAATACAATAAATGAAACATAAAAATTCTTGGTTTTGGGAAATTTACATTCTATTACAAAAATACTCATTTTTTTCTATCGTACTGGAAGAAATTATGAACTTTCATCAAAACCTAGTTCCACTCTCAAATTGTAATGTGCCTGTAACTCCTGAAAGAAAATAAAAGTATTATTTCTTGTTAGTCTCTGGTCTACATAACCATTGGGGATTTCGTGTTTTGAGATATGGTCTCACTGTCACTCAGGCTGGAGTGCAGTGGCTACAATCCTGGCACACTGCAACCTGTAACTCCCAGGTTCGAGCCATTCTCCTGACTGGTCCCCTGAGAAACTAGGACTACAGGCTCACACCACCATGCCTCCTGAGAAGCTGGGACTACAGGCACGTGCCACCATGCCTGGCTAATTTTTGTAGTTTTAGTAGATACAACGCTCACCATATTGGCCAGGCTGGTTTTGAACTCCTGACCTCAAGTGATCCACCCACCTCGGCCTCCCAAAGTGCTGGGATTACAGGTGTGAGATATCATACTGGACCACCTTTAGGTATTTTTTTCCTTCATAAATTCATTATGTGCAATGCCCAGTGAAGTTTCAAGTTTAGAGAAAATGGCAGTTTATTTTATTAAAAATTAATATAGGCCAGGTAAGGTGGCTCACACCTGTAATCCCAGCACTTTGGGTGGCCGAGGTGGGCAGATCCCTTGAGGCCAGGAGCTCAATACCAGCCTGGCCGGTATGGTGAAACCACAAGGCATGCACCTGTAGTCCCAGCTACTTGAGAGGCTGAGGCAGAAGAGTCACTTGAACCCTGGAGGTGGAGGTTGCAGTGAGTCAGGATCGTGCCACTGCACTCCAGCCTGGGTGGCAGAGCAAGACTCCATCTCAAAAAAAAAAAAAATCAATATAAGCTCAGAATCTAGGAAATAGAGAAATTTTTCATATACCTGTTGGCCATTTTTATGTATTCTTTGAAGAAATGTCTAGACATGTCCTTTGCCCATTTTTTCACTGGGTTATTTGTTTTTCTACCATTGAATTGTGTAAGTTCTCTATAAATGTCGAATATTAACCATTATCAGATAAATGGTTTGCAAATTTTCTACTAACCTATAGGCTGCCATTTTTAAATCTTTTTGGTGGTTTTATTTCTGTGCAAAAGCTTTTTTTTATGTATGATATGGTCCCATTTATTCATTTCTCTTTTGTATTCTGAACTTTTGGTGTGATACCTAGAACAATCGTTGCTAAAGGCCAATGTCAAGTCACTTTTTTTCTCTGTTTTGTTCTAAGAATTGTATGGTTTTGGGTCTTACATTTAGCTGTTTTATACATTTTGAGTTGATTTTTGTGTACGGGGTAAGGTCAAGGGTCCAGTTTCATTTTTGTGTGTGTATTGATGTGTTAATTTCTTAGCATCATTAATTGAAGAGACTAGCCTTTTCCCCCATCGTGTCTTTCTGGTGCCCTTGTCCAAAATTAGTTAACTGTATATGTTTGGTATTACAATTACATCATGTTTTTTCTTAAAAATATAGAGTAAGTATTTTCCTACTTTTGTATGTACTGTGAGGACCTGATTTGGAATATCTGTCTGGAATTACTTTATATGAATGAGTCATGAGTTATTTAATAAATTCTCTAATCTCAAATAGTATCACAGTTTTCTGCTAGTTAATAAAGTAGGGTTGAGAATTTCAGAAACTTGTGGACTCACTCATTTGTGGATTCACTTTGCTTTTGGCTGCTAATATAGAGTTATGATCAGCTATACCCCACTGAATATACTTTATATTTTGAGTATAGATTCTCTTTGATATAGGATTTTGATATAGTAAAGCATAGCTTTGGGCTCATAATTTTTTTCATGGATGGCAGATAAATAGAATTATGTTAGAAAAGAAAGTGAATGGTATACTTTAAGAAGTCTGTATAACTTACCTTTAGCTCTTTTTCTATATTTAAATGTATTTTAGAGAAAAAATCATAGTACCTAATACTTTTAAAGCTAGAATTAAAGTGCGTTAAGGCTTTCTTAAATCTTGTTATCTGTCATTCTGAATCCTCTTGAAGTTAGCTATAAAGAATAATAGATATGTATTCAGTCAGGATACTGAAGATTTTTACTGGCTTTTGGATTAGAAGATTTTCAGCTATCAGTGTTTAAGCTTTAACTTCACTGTCAGTTAGTCTGACAAGGCCAAAATAAGATTCTAATAGTTGTGATTGTGGAGAGGGTGGTTTTCATTATGTGAGGCAAAGTGTCAATTAAAAGGGTATTGAGATAAAGAAATAGAAACTAGATTAAGTTTATACTTTTTCATGATGATAAGAAAATCCATTTTCGAGTTATACATTTATTTGAGGGTAGCTATCAGAGGCAAAGCTGGAATACCTTACATACTTAAAAGACTGCCCTTGGTTCTCAAAAGACTTATCAACTGCTTAATAATCATTTAAACATTTTTGTGTGTATGAAATAAGCACATTTTAAATAAAATGAAATGCCATGGTCCAATAATGGCAGTAACTTTTAGAGATGCTGTAATCAGCAATCTTACCTTCTCCCCAGTCTCTCCTCATAGTTCCCTACCATTTAAATGCTGAACATTTGCCGTCTTTCAGTGGGGATTCTCATAAGGAAATCTGAAATCTATATTTGATGTATATCCACAAAAATAAATACTGAGCATGTTTCAGCGTGACTGTCCTTTTTTAGAAGCAATGCCTGGTAAGCCTAGCCTTAAGATTTTAGTGCAACAATGAAAACTGAACATGCATCTACAAAATGCATTGAACATCAAGCTTGAATGTGCTTTTCTGACTAATCTACATAAATAAAGTTAAATTTATCTCTGATAGTTGCTGCATCTAGTAAAAATGACTACATAGATGTTCTCAAATTTAGAAAGCCTTCTTAGGATAATTTGATTTAAAATGTAGGCTATTTATCAAGCAAGAAATTCACTTAGAAAAGACTCAGGAAACCCCTTAAAGAGATGCATTCAATGGAACTTAAAGCATTGATCTGCACAGAGCTGCTTCTCACACTGCAACTGCATCTACTTTGCTTCTTCGTAAGTAGCATCATGGATTTATCTATTTATTTAGTTATGGTTAATGATTCTTCCTGTTGATTGGGGAAAATTACAATATTGATTTTTTTGACCACTTTCTTGCAGAATTTACAGTTTCATATGAGCAGTTCACTGTTAAGAGATGGAGTGTTCTATAAGTGACACATCACTTTTTTTCTGGTGGCTTTCAAGATTTTTTTCTTTTTTTTTTTGGTTTTCAGAAGTTAATTATGATGAATCTTGGAAGGATTTATTTGGGTTCATCCTGTGTAAGGTGCACTTAGCTTCTCTAATCTGTTAAGTTTGTGTCTTTTGCCGAATTTGGGATGTTTTTAGCCATTATTTCTTGGACGCCCCTTTCAATCCCACTCTTCGTCCTTGCTTTCTGGAACTCCTATGATATGAATGTTTCATCTTTTTGTTTTCATCCTACAAGTCTCTGAGGCTCTGCTCATTTTCCCCTCATCTATTTCCCTCTATTTTTTAGACTGAATAAATTCTATAGACCTTTCCTCAAGCTTACAGAGCCACTTCTCTGTTATCTTCACCACTGTTGAGACCATTCAGCCAGTTTATTATTTCTATTATTATATTTTTGATGTCTATGATTTTTATTTAGTTTACTGTTATTTCCATTTCTTGCCCAAGATTTTCTATTTTTCATTGTTTCAGGAGAATTTGCAGCTGATTTTTAATGATTTTTATGATGGTGGCTTTAAAATCCTTGTCAGATAATTTCAATGTCTGATTCATCTTATTGTTAGCATCCATTGATTGTCTCTTCTCCTTCAAGTTGTAATTTCTTGATTCTTGGCATGATGAGTGTTTTTTTAAGTTGTATTCTAAATATTTAATCTAGTATGATAGGGGACTCTGCACTGCATTTAAATCTTATATTTAGCAGATAGTTTTTCTGCTTAGGTTTAGTACACGGGTTCTGACCTATTGTTTTGAGCTGTGGTTCCAAAACCAGCTTAATTTTCAGAGCATTTGCAAAGTTGTTTTGGTCTTCCTGCACTTTTGTCAAATGCTGATGTGGCTGTTACTGGTCCCTTTCAATGCTGACCTAGGGAGACAAGAGGTTTCCTGAAGCTAGGGAACCCATGTCTCCAGGTGCAGGGGAGACAAGAGGTTTCCTGAAGCTAGGGAACCCATGTCTCCAGGTGCAGGGGAGAAGTCTCAGCTCACTGGGCCTATGAGGCTTTCCAGGCCAGGTGAGTTTGTGGCAAGATCCGACTTTCAGTGTTACCCAGCTGTCCTGTACCTTTTGATGGAGGAGGAAAGTTTAAGGCCCTGAATAAAAGGAGAGCACTTTCTCTGGCAGATTATTATTAGTGGAGTTGGTTCCCCATCTTTTCCCCTTACTAGTTGTGCTGGGCTCACCTGACATGTCAGGGGAACTACGATTCTTTCTAGGGGACATAATAACTTCTCTCAGCTGCCTTCTATTGCTAGGTTGAGGATCAGGGTACCAGGATTGCCTTTTTCTGTCCTTTGGGAAGGGAGGAGATGTGTAATACTCTATTGTGTTATTTTTCTAGTCTTGATGTCTCAAATAATTTTTTTCTCCCTCTTATCATCTTTTGGAGTTTTTCTATGTTGACTTTTATGTTATTTCCAGGGTTTATAGTTACACTAAGTAGGGAGGAGCAGAGAGAAATGAGTCTCTGGCATCTTGTCTAGACCTCAGGTTGTCATATGCCATGGCCTATTGAAAAATGAAGGGAATGTGAGGTCAAGCCAGTCTGAAATGCTGGTTCATCCACTAATCTGTATGACTTACAAGAAATTTATCTGACTTCTTTGAGCCTCCTTTTGGTCATCTGTAAAATAGAGTTAACTTATTTATTTATTCACTCTTTGTGAGTCAATAAAATATCTGTCATTGAGAACTTGCTCAAGAGCATTGAGAACTTGCTCAAGTGCACTGTTCCAGGCACTGTGAATGCAGTGGGGTACAAGACAGGTAAGATCCTTGTTCTCTTGTCCCTTCATTCTTTACACAGATAATCAACAGGCAATCAAAAAATAATTCTGCAAGACAGTGATACTTTGAAAAAATAAAACAGAGTAATGAGAATAATGACTAAGCTGAGGACTTAGATGGCTGTGCTTCAAATACTTAGGGGAGGTCTCTCTGAGGATGTGGAATTTCATATATTCTTTCTATTGATTCAGCCACTATTTATTGAGCTCTTACTATGTCCTAGGGATAAACCTGAACAAAAACCTGAATGATGAGAGAGACGCAGCTATTTGAAAATGTGGAGCAATATCATTTCAGGAAAAATGTACACTCTATTGAAAAGATCCCTGAGGTTAAAAAAAAAAAAAACTAGAGAAGGTCAAGGAACTGAAAAAGATGGGCAGTGTGGTTGCAACATTGTAAATGTGAAGGCACATCATCCCAGAAGTGATCAGAGGTAGGCAAGAAACTGACTGTGCAGGGGCTTTTGGGGCACGATAATCAGTTCAGTTTTATTCTTCATATAACAGGAAGCCTTAGAGAGTTTAAGCAGATAAGCAATACAATACATATACTTTTCATAAAGATTATTCTAATTGTTTTGTAGAGAATAAAATGTAGAGGAGCAGTAATAGAAGCTGGGATACCAGTTAAAAGGCCATTTCTGCTGTCCAGGTAGGAAATAATAAAACTTGAACTTGATAGGCAGCTGCGGAAAAAGAAGAGGTTGTAGATTGAAGGCATATTTAGCAGTTTGAGCAGGCAAGATTTTCTGAATTGGCTTTGTGAAGTTAGGACAGATGAGGACTCTGTTTCTGACTTTGGCTAGATAACAGGAGCCATTGTAGAGATGAGGGAGATTGAGAGAGAAGAGTGTTTTAGAGTTGGGGTCAGAAATAATTATATTTGTTTTGGAAAGGTTACATTTTGAGGTATCTGTAAGAGATCTGTGGAGATATGCTGTAAGTAGTAAATATTCAATTTTGGAGGTCAGGGGGCTAAGGGCTGAGGCTACTGTGTAATCTGGGTGTCCCAACATTCAGACAATATGTAAGGCAGTGATCAACTTTGTCAAATATGTTAGTAAAATAAAGACAAAGAACTGAGTGCTGAGTTCAGTAATTTGGAATTATTAAGTTGCCTTGATGGGAGTTGTTTTAGTGAGATGGTCTGCGTTATTGTGAAACTTATTAGTATATGAAGCTAAGCATTCTAATTTTAACTACTTTTTCCTTCCTCAGTTTCCTCATGTGTAAATGATGATAATAATGGTTTTATACCTGTATCATGCTTTTTATGCTCTATCACTAGATTTCTAAAAGGATTAAATGGTAATCCATGAGAAAAAATAAGCTATGCAGAGTTACACAAGTGTATGCTTTATATAAATATATATATATGTGTGTGTGTGTGTGTATATATATATATATAAAATTTCAGGCATGTTTTAATCCAGTGCATGTTTAGCATATGTCTCTGGTGAATGGATCATTCCTCTAAAAACAAGTTTGATAAAATAAGAATTGTCTCTGAAATCATAGATATTTAAATAGTTGGACTTGTCTTTAAATTTACATGGAAATATACTCTCTCTCTTTCTCTCTCTCTCTCTCTCTCTCTCTCTATATATATATATATATATATATATATATATATATATACATATATATTTAAAATCTAATATTGAAACATAATTTTCCAGGGTGACCTAACCTTAACATACTCCTAACCCTAACCCAGTTGACCCATATGAACATTTTAAAGTTGACACATATGAACATTAAAAAGTTTATTTTTGGAGACTATCTTTCACTTAAAAAACTAACCATTTCTACCAACATTATCATCCTTACAACCACAATTAAAACCACAGCAAAAATAGCTACCACTTTAGGGCATATTACATATCAGATACTTTACATGTATAATCTCACTTAATCTTTATAGCTATAATATGGGAATAATTATGATTTCCACTTTACAGATAAAAATGGAGGCTCATAGAAGTTAAGCAATATGTTCAAAACCTGCAAATAGTGTCAGAATCATTTTTCAAAATCAAATATTTCTTAATCCATCGTTCTCAACACAATTGTTCTTCTTCATATCTGGGTGTGCTGACAGGTTAGATTTGGTAAGATGAGGGTTCTGGAGTAGCTACATAGTTAAAATTTCTAGACTTTATATCAAAGCCAAGTTTTACTTATTCCAAAAAATACACATATACACACATGAAAAAAGCCAGAAGGTAGGCTAGAACATCAGGCCAAGGAGAGAAAGGACTTGAGATATAGCAAAACCATTTGCAAATGTGGAACTCTATTTGAGACTGAATGTATATATTGCAAAACCTGGCAATAGGTAAATAAAACATAATATATTTTGGTTGTCAGTTTACTAGGCTGGAGAGAATTCTAGGAGTCACAGTTGGGAATGCTGAAATTTAAAGATATGATATTCATCCTTTGGAGAGGCTCATAAAACAGAAAACTAATATGTATTTGTTTTAAGGGTACCCAGGGTTTGCTTTAACCAGGTATGGTAAGACATGCATTATCACTGCAGTAAGTAATCACCTTGAAACACTGGACCAGATCATTCTGCAGCTGATAAAGAGTGTGTCTGTGGGTGGTGTAGAGAAATAGGACTAAATGATTTCTAAGGTTTCCTACTGCCTGTGTTGCTTAATATAGTCTAATGGGGTCTTTAGAAGAGAGTGATGTGAAGCTTATTCTGGCAGTGTGTGCAGGATGCACTGCTGAGAGGGAGCTCACTCAGGACAGTGCTGTAATTGAAGCAATCGGCATAGTGAAGAATTGATCTAATAGTCAGCAAACCTGTATTCTAACTTGCCCTATCCCACTCTTTTGCTGGGTAACTTTGAGTGACTTCTGGGACCAAGGATTAAAAAGAGCTCCAAAGGGTTTATAGATTCAAAGCTTAGAAGAAGAGCCAACAGTCATGGAATGAAATAGGAATGGAAAATCAGGTGGAAAAATACATTGTTAACTAGTTATACAGTAAGTATACAATA